TCAAGCAGACAGCTGATTATCAGAAGTGTGAGATGCTCCAGAATTTACTCCGGTGTCCTGTTATATTTTAGATAGCAAGGAGTTTATTAAACTCCACTGAAACAATCTGTAAATTTCATTAAAATTTAATAAACTATCATTTTATCTTTATTTTTAGTTAGCACAGACCTTAAACACTTAGAGCTGTAAGCTAATGATAATTATATAAGAGCAGATGCTGCTGGTGCAATAAGCTGTATGTTTACATCCAAAGGACGAATGCTCTGATTAGTCAAATAATCGGTGACTAGTTGACTATCAAAATAATCGTTTGTGGCAGCCCTACCTACAATAATTTAAAATATTTACCAGTTTTAGATCAAATCTTTATAGTTTACTGGATAGTTTACTACCTGGGACAATTTTCCATTTCATTTTTAATTTTTTTAGTTGTCATTCATTTTTAAATTTGAACACTGTCTAATTATTACACTTCTCTGCTAACTTTCAAGGCAGTTTGACTTTAACCGTCTGACAATGTGCATATTTTTAAAAAAGCTACTTTACTTTGTATTTCTCCTTCATAAAGTAGAGCAAAAATCATCAAAGCAAGGTTGACAAGGCCAACAAAGTAGACCAACATACAAAAGCTCTTATTAGCAGAGAATAAATTGAAGTTATAGATTTTAAAAGGAGTCATCTTACCCGGGCAAAACAAACGGGCCTGCACCTCTTTGACCACAGGGTGGCTACTAAGGAGCTCAAGGTTCCAACTGAAAAGTAGGTCCTGGGTGACTGGTGAACATTCGTTTAGCAGACGGACATGGTGTGATTCCAAAGACATGTTCCAGACATTTAGGTCAGTTATATTTCCAAAGAAAGGCTCTGTAAAATTCCCGCCAAAAGAGTCTTGGTCCTGCCCCAGGATCAGAATCCCATCACCGTAGATTTCCCTAGAAGTGTCTGTGTCTGAGCCTGTGTCTTTCCTGTCTCCGTCCACATAGGTAGCCCAGTGGCCACCACTCTGCTGCCACGTGACACAGATTTGATGCCACGCACCATCATTTGGGAAGGATGCCTTGTATGGTAGGTGCTTCCCGTGGATGATGAGCGCCAGCAAAATGCGACCCTGCATGTCTGCTTGGCCTCGCAGCTGGAACTCATTGGTAAAGACAGGCGCAGCGTAGGAAAATATGGTCGACACCTCACTCCACCATGGGTCCCACTGAACTCGAACACAAACACTGACAGATGAGAGGGCCGGGAAGGACTTGTTGACGTGTGCAAAGCCCTCACGCGACTCCTTTGGAAACTTTAGAGCTGAGAACTGCAAATCTGAAAGATGAGAACAAAAAGGCGTTTTACGTAAAACTAAACAAAACAAAAATCTGCAGCTTAAAACTGCGTTTTCACTCACACTGCTGGGAGAGTGCCACAGGCTTGGAGGCTACTCTGCTGGAATCCCTGACCCAGACGGATGAATGAAGTCCAGCCTGCCGAAGCAGCTCCAAAACTTCCTTCTGGTCTGAGGTGATGAGAGAGCTAAACCGCCCTCTGCAGAAGCTGTCGGCTCCAGAGAAGGACAGCGAGTCATTGACCAGCTGGAAAGCCCAGTGTGGTGTCAGATACACCAGTGTTTCTCCTAGAAAGTCAGACATATACATGAAGTTTCATTAAACATGGATATTATAGAGATTTTATTTAGCCTTCAGTGGCCAGAATTCTCACCATTTGAGCCCTCTACTCTTTCTGGCACGGCATGTGTCGGCTCACTTTCACATCCCACCTACAGGACAAAGAAAACCAGTTTACCAAAATACCAAATTAAAAACAATGACCTATACTCATCAGTAATTTGGATTTCTATGTTTTAAATGTTTGTTTGGGGTTTTTGTTTTTACATAAAAAAGGTAACAACCATAAAAAAAGCACACATCAAAAAAAAAGTATCCATTTAAATCATTATGGAAAAATGAGAAAGTTATTACCTCAAACAGGAAGAGTATGAGTCCAGTAAGCAGGGTTCCCATCATCTCTAAGCCAGTGTAGCGTTCTGCTGTAATAAACCATTCAGGTCACCAGTGCAATTATGAATTATATTTCTGCTAAATCTAGATAAACGCCACTGATTATGAGCATTTAAGCCATAAACATCTCAGATGCTGCTGTGAGCCGTGCATGACAATGCTGGTGGCAAGCACGTGTCACTCTTCAACAGCTGGTTCGCAAATATTCAATTTTTTCCCCAGTTGATGGGAGATGTTAAATCCCGTCTTTCCTCCAACCAGTACAAAAAGTAGTGTGAGGTAATATGGGAACAAGATCCAGACTAGTACTGCTAATACCTCAACAACAGCGTTCGATACACCCTGCAGTGCAGTCTGATCTCCTGACTGGGAGAGAGCTGGCGATCCCAGTGCATCTGTCCAACAATCCCAGTCTGTCCTGCCTCCTCTTTGCTACAGACTCAAACTCCTCCCTCTCCTTTCTGCCCTCCACCCTGAAACCATCGGGCTTTGTCATGCAAATAGAGCCATTTTTTAAAAGAAGCCTATTTACGTAAGCAGTGTCAAGCATTTGCCAGAGAGAGTTCATCAGCAGCAGCAGGGCGGCAGACATTTTTACTGTATCGGCCTTGTTGATGTTTACTACAGAACACTTTGTGTTAAGTGGGACATCTGTTTCATTATTGCACTTCAAAGTTAGTCAAACATTAGTGCTACTCATGTAATCCACCCACAAAGTTTGTCTTTGACAGATTTTATCAGGTGGCTTCGTGCATCATGTAAGCGAGTTCCTCTATACCTCACCTTCAGAGTACACTTCCTGCATCAAACAGCATCTTCTGCTCTGAGGTTTATCCAGTGGCATTGCACTGACTATGTGACAACAGCAAAAAGGAAGGGCAAGAAACATACACTGCATGTTACAGGTTGTAAGCAAACCACTGGTTAAACTGGAACTTATAGTGCTTTGCTAGTCTTGTTGGCTGCTCAAAGCATATCAAACTACTAGTCACATTCACCCATTCACATTGTGTACTCTTCAAACACTACATTTACTGTACCTGCACAATTACTCTGACACACATGGACTGTTGGAGGCAGCCAGAAGAAAACCAAATGAGTTGTTTCTATTGTGTCATCCTGCGAAGTGGTGCTTGTGTAACAAATGCTGCTAAAATCACTAACCAAATTCAAATTCAAATTGTATTTGTCACACACACACAACCATACACAGTATGACATGGGGGTGAAATGCTTGTAGCTGTACTACAAAATTTACAAATTAACTTGTAATTAAATTTACAGTAAAAAATGTGCAAATAGCAGAAAGAGATTATAAAGATTATAAATTATAGGAAATGTGTGGTGGTGCATGTGGGAGAGTCCAGTCCTACACCTGGTTCAGGCCCGAATAGCCTGGGGGAAGGAGCTCCTCCTCATTCTCTCTGTTTTGGCGCTTCCCAGACCTCAACAGTGAGAAGAGTCCTGTGAAAAGATTTTACCTTATTACCTTTATGTTTAGCTTATTTAAATTGCACAGTAATGCCTGTACATAGCGTGCCAGCAAATTCTTTAGCTGGAACAAAGTGATCACATGAGGAAGTTGCTCAAGTTTAGACAACACCCACATGTATTGTTTTAACCCACTACAAGATCGTTAATCAACTTGTCCATCTTTGTCTTGCAAGGCTGCATCCTGTGCAGCCTCGTATGCAAGCACCAGATAAGAAGTTGTTTTTTCCTAACTTGTACTCCACCCATGAGTGTTACGTGAGTAAGCAGTATATAATAAAGTAAAATAAAGTATATAATAAAGTCATTACAACGACTTTATGTCTGACAGTTTTAAGTACATGGTGTAGTAAAAGTATTTTCCAAAAACTGTGATTATTGTCTTATACTGCAGTAGTACTGTGCTAAAGCTATTTCCTGCAGTCAGACGCACAGTTGAGGTTCTCAAAGATGCAGAAAGTCCTAAGGTTACTCCTATGTTCATGTGTTTGACAGCTTTGTGATTCCACATGCCTTCCCCTCACAAGAACCTGTAATTCAGTTTGCTAATGCCAAAATATCATCTCATCTAATAGAGTCAACTACAAGTTCAGTCAGAACACACTTCATCATTTTTAACTGATTTACATGGCACTGAGTGAAAAAAATATTTTATCCCTGAGCCAGAATTGTCAGGTAGGGGCAGTCGTCTACAGCAACTGGTTGGGCTGACAGAAAAAAGACAGGCTGTGGAAGACAGCCAGAGATTAATAACAGCTAATAATTAAATGCAGAAAGCACGTAGAGAAATGAAAAAGGTGTCAAAGAATTTTACTATTCTAGGCAAGACTGTAGATCTGCACAAGGCTGGAATGAGCCGACTTTGAGAAGCTTGGTGAGAAAGTGACAACTCTTGGTACAATTATTTGGAAATGGTAAAAAAAAAAATATATATATAAAATATACAAATATAAAATGACCATAATTTGCCATTGGTCTGGAGCACCATACAAGATCTTACCTCATGGGGTGAGGATGACCATGAGAAAGATGATGGATCAGCCCAAAAGGAGAAGCTGATTATTGTCTGGGCAGGTAAAGGCAGTTGTGACCACAGTCACCTAGGACACCATTGGTAACACACTATGCTGGAATTGATGGAAATCTCTCACCACTCCCAAGGTCCCCCAGGTCTGGATGACACATGTACAAGCTTGGATATCTTAATGATCCAGAGACGGCTTGTAAAGGACGTTCTGTGGTCAGATGAAACCAAAATTGAGCTATTTGGGTCAACTCAACCCATTGTAATTGTAATGCTCAGTAGAAGAAGAACACCGCCCCCACAATCAGGGCTGGACTAGGATAAAAAATCGCACCTGAAATTTTTTGTTCCAGGTGGCCAACTGTGATTTGCTGCATCTATTACTACTTTGTTTTTCTCTCTTAGCTCATCAGCTCTACCTTTTCTTCTACACTAACCTCTTTTCTACAAGGTGTGTGAGTGTACAGTGAAATTAGGCAAGGGGCCAGTTGCATTAAGAGACTTGACTGGGCAATAAAATGTCAGTAATGAAAATAAATGAATGGACTGCTGTCAACGCTTATAGGGCTGATGCACAATGGCCCTTCAATTGACTTATTAACCCAAAATTCTGTCAGCTCACCAGGCTAATGCCCAGTATGATTCAGTAAAAGGACTAGCTGTTATAGTCCCTGATGATGCATTGCTTTAAATGGAGAGACTTTTTTTTAGGCAGCCCAGAAACTTTACCAGCAGCACACATCGTTGTGTGCCTAATCTTTCGGTCTTTTACCCAAGCTAAGCTTTTTGGGGATTAGAGATCTGATCTAGATTGTCATATTAAGATTTGGGACATATCGTCAGTAGTGCACCTGGTAGTGCAAGATTACCAGTCCATCCATGCCCACAGTGGAAACATTAAGTTTTGGGCTGCTTTTCCGCTAAGCGTATGGAATGATGGGGTCAATAGAAGTCCTAGGTAGCATAAAATGTTAAACGAGAACCTTCTTTCCTAGGCCAGAACAACAAAGATTGGTTGTGGATAGGTCCTGAGCCTGCACCTCCAGAGAGTCCCAGTGCTATGGAAAACATCGCGCCTGGTCCCAGTGACTAAGAAGAATCATCCAGTGGCACTAAATGACTACAGGCCTGTAGCACTGACCTCTAATATTATGAAGGTTGTGGAGAGACTTATCCTGGAACACCTCAGACTCCTGGTGAGAAAGTCACAAGACCCTGTTTGCATACCAGCCGACTTGGGGGTGGACGGTGCAGTGATACATGTGCTGCAGAGAGCGTATTCCTCACTCGATAGACCCAACACCACAGTTCGGATGAGTTCTATCTGCCTTAACCCGATCCAGCCCGGGCAGAAGTTGGAGGACATGCAGATGGAGGCTCCAATGGTCCAGTGGATCAGTGACTACTTGGTGGGCAGACCACAGTTTGTGAGATTGCAGAGCTGTGTGTCAGAGAGTCTGAACAGTAACATAGGAGTACCCCAGGCAACTGTGCTGTCCCCTCTCCTCTTCAGCCATCGATACGGCCGACACACAGCCATTATTGGAAGTGTTGGGAAGGGAAGAGGAGTACAGAGGACTGATTGATAGCTTTGTGAGCTGGTGTGAGGTGAACCACCTGCAGCTGAATGTGACCAGAACAAAAGAGCTGGTGGTGGACTTTGGCAGAAACAGAT